AGAGTTTGTTGGCTAGCTAATCCAGCCAGTCAATGAGCTCTGGGTTCCGAGGGAGACCCTGTCTCAAAAAGATAAAATGGAGAGTACAGAAGACATCGGATGTCAACATCTGGCCTCCAAATGCACAGGCACACATCTGCACACACACACCTTCAAGCACACAATTACACACACACACACCATACCCATCATATCAGATTATATTCCAAATAAAAAAAAATAGTGTTGATATACTAAATAAATGTAAGTTTGACATGCTTTTTTTTTATAATTCCTTACACATTTATAACTTGTAGAAAGCTTTAGTTGTATTCAAAATTTCAAAAGTTCACACAACAACATTTTTCCTTTATTTACTGTCAGTTTCCAAGTCGTGTTGTGGGCCTGCAATGACACACAAAGCAATAGCCACCTGAAGGACCTTGGGGGCAGGGTTAACAGGAGATGGTAGTCCAGGAAGGGGTACTGGTGTTGTTTTATCTGGAGAAGAACCTTGAAGACAGCTGAGGTTCAGTCAAACACATAGAATATAACCCTTTCCTTTGGATGCTTTTGATGGAACCCTTGGTCACCAATTACAGTAGAATCAGAAAGCTCATTTATTTGGATCACTTAGAACCAGGAGCTTTTAAATACACTGAAATATCTAAAGTCAGCATTTCAGTCCTGGGTCCTGTATTTTTCATGGGAAGAGAGGAACTGCATTTGCTCTAAGCAGTTCAAGGGAGCGTATTATTGGACATAAATTATATGCTCAATGTAGAACTTGAGTTGTGTAAAATCCTATATTCAAGGGCACTGACTGACATTGTTCATCTGAACTAACACAGAGAATATTACAGTCATTTTATCCAACTTTAGAACTTACATAAAATGTAGGTATTGGTACATAGGTATCAGCTTTGTTTTGTAATGCTTCCAGTTTTGAAGGTAGACTACAATGAGTTGAACTATTTTCTGATGCATCCCAACATTTAAGCATAATAAAATCTCATTAAAACATGTATGAAGAACATTCTTCACATTTGAATAATTGCTCATTCCAGATCATATACTGTTAACGCTGATGAGATTTAGCCAAGATTAGTGTTTATCCTTTGAAACCTATCTGTAAATTTCCAGATAAAAGTTAGCTTAGGAGAGAGATTCATTACACAAAGATGAAACTATATTTAATATAGAAACCTTCTGGCTAGATGGCCAAGATTCTGGAAAGCCAGAGGTCTGCCTTATATAAGTTCTTCATTCTATCCATAAGCTCCTTGGGTGGGTGGGGGCACAAATAGAATAAGTAAATATTTTAATATCAGTCCAAGTAAAAAACACGAGGAAAGAAAACTAAGCTCCCAGGTCTCCCATCAAAGAATGAGTCCCTTGCATTCCTGAGAACTAAACCACTGATTCTGTATCCCTCCCTTGAGATAGAGAGAGAGATAGGGGGAGAGAGAGAGAGACAGACAGAGAGAGAGAGAGAGAGAGAGAGAGAGAGAGAGACAGAGAGAGAGAGAGAGAGAGAGAGAGAGAGAGAGAGAGAGGAACAATCAGGATCATAAGAAAGTCTTTATGATTATCTACATTCTATAAATGGTCAGAGCAAATTTAGAAGAATCTGAACACATCCTGGCTGGGTGCAGGACTTCATAGTCTTGGTTACTGCATCAAGAGTCCATTCTCTTCTCTAGATGGATTCTTTATCTTGGAAAGGATCTCAAAATTAATTCCAAGTACATAGTGGATAATGCTAAATTCTTGAAGGTTATCTAAAATTGCCTTAACATTTAAAGCATATGCTAACACATAGGAAATATTTATAATTACACATAGCTCACAATTGAAACATTTTTATTTTTCCTCTGGGAAAGCAAAATGAAGTAAAGTATGTTTTATTATCAATTTAATAAATAAAGAACAATAGATGGACTTCATGTCCTTTGAATAGTAGCATGGAGAAGCATTTCACCCCAACTGCTGAATTCTGAGAGTATAAATCTCTACAGACCTTTAAACGGGCATGGGAACAACAGTTTGACAACATCCATTACAAATAAAAATAGAGACCTTTGGCCAACAACTCAATTAGACATAACCCAGTCCCTGTACTAGAAGCTTTGTTTAGTGACAAGAGATGTCCAGTTGGGGCTCTGCCCCCACCATTATTTGGCAGCTTCCTTTAGATCACCTTTATATATGTATATAGTTTAGGAAGGTTTTGTTGTATTCAGTTTCCATACTACCCTTCAAGTGGCTCCTAGTTTTAGCTGTTTCTGTCTGTATTGCCCCTCTTCCCTCCTCCCCATTTGATCCTCCTGTTCCAGTCCCCTGCATCCATCCATAGCTCTTCTCTTTCCTTTTATTAGGGAGATCTATCTACCCCGCACCCTCAGTCCCTTACTCTATACCTAATGTCTTTGTTTACAAGGATTAAAGCTTGGTTATCATTGAATTAATAGCTAATATCCACATATAAACAAATACATACTCTATTTGTCTGTCAGAGTCTGTCACACTCAGGATGATCTTTTTCTAGTTCTGGCCATTTGCCGGCAATTTTATTTTTCATTGATTTCGATGAATTCATGATTTTACTTTTAACACCTGTGTTATATTCCATTGTGTAGATTACCACATTCTCTTTATTCATTCTTCTATTTAGGGACATCTAAGTTGTTTCCGATTTCTGGCTATTAGTAATAGATCAGCTATAAAAATGGTTGAAGAAGCGTTTTTGTGGTAGGATGAAGAATCTTTTGTGTATATGCCCAACAGTGGTATAGCTGAATCCTGAGGTAGATCAATTCCAGTCTTCCTGAGTAACTGCCATACTGATTTCCATAGTAGCTGTACAAGTTTTCACTCCCTCTAGCTATGGATGAGTGTTTTCCTAACTCCACATCCTCACCAGCATGAGCTGTCACTTGTTTCATTGATCTTGGCCATTCTTGAGGGTGTAAGATGAAATCTAAAAGTAGCTTTGATTTGAATTTCCTTGATGACTGTGGATGTTGAACATTTCTTTAAGAGTTTCTCAGCCATTTGAGTTTCCTCATGAGAATTCTCTGTTTAGATCTATACCTATTTTTAATTGGGTTATTTGTTTTATTGATATCCAGTATTTTGAGTAGCCCTCTATTGGATGTGTAGTTGGTAAAAATCTTTTCCCATTCCCTAGGCTGCCACTTTGAATGATGGTGTCTTTTGCCATGAAGAAGCTTTTCAGTTTCATTAGGTCCCATTTATTAATTGTTGATTTAGTGCCTGTGCTAATGGTATTCTGTTCAGAAAATCTTCTCTCATGCCAATGAGTTCAAGGCTATTGCCCACTTTCTCTTCCATCAGGTTTAGTGGTTCCATGGGAATCTTCAAACAACACAGGCTATTGATAACACTATAGGTTGCTTTCCACAAATGGATGCAAAGACTCAGTTGCTGAAAAAAGCACCTACCCAACTCATTGAACATGGAGAAGTCAAGCCTTTACCCTTAAATGCTAGCATTTTTCATACAGGGAGGTTCTCTGCAAGCTACCAAAGAAGAAAAGTAAACACCAATCCAGTTGCAACCATGCTGTCCTGCCTACAAGATATGCTAGTGCAATGGTGGCATAAAGCTTGTAAGAGTAACCAACCAGTATCTGATTTGACTTGAGTCCCATTCCACAAGATGGAACCCATCCAACACTGCTTGGGTGACAGAGAACCTAAGACTTGATAGCCAGTCGACCCAGGATTGAACCAAATACTACTGTTCTACTAAAACTGTTCTATTAGTGCTGTAGCTACAATATGGCTCCTAATGAAATTCTGCTATATTGGTAGATCGATGTGTCTTCCCATCATCAGAGAAACTTCCTCCTACAGCAGATGGGAACAAATATGGAGACCCACAGTCAGATAATATGCAGAGAGTTAGAGACCTGGGAACACTCAGCCCTAAATGTGATGTCTCCATGTGTTCTAGATAGTTTTATGCCAACTTGACACAAGCTAGAGCCATCAGAGAGGAGGGAGCCTCAATTGAGAAAAATGCCTCCATAAGATCAGTTTGTAGGCAAGCCTATAGGACATTTTCTTAATCATTGATTGAAGTGACAGGGCCCAGCCCACTGTGGATGAGGTCATCCCTAGGCTGGTAGTTCTGAGCTCTATAAGATAGCAGGCTGAGCAAGCCATGAGAAGAAAGCCATTGAGGAGCACCCCTCAATGGCCTCTGCATCAGCCTCCAGGTTTATGCTCTGTTTGAGTCCCTGTCCTTACTTCCTTCAGTGATGGACTATGATCTGTAAGCCAAATAAACCCTTTCCTCCCCAACTTACTTTTAGTCATGAGGTTTCATCACAGCAATAGTAACCCTAACTAGGACGCCATCAGCTGCCTCCCCTTATTGCTTAGGGAACTCTGTGGAGGAGGAGGCAGAAAGAGTGTAAGAGCCACAGGTGATGGAGGACCCCACACAAACAAAGCCCTCTGAATCAACAGAATTGATGCATGTGAACTGCAGCAGCATGCACAGCGTCTGTGCACCAGATAGGGTCCTAAAGTTGAAAGAAATGGTCACATGCCTCCATCCACAATCATGAAGCTTTCTCCAACTGATAACTACTTGCAAATGAAAATTTGGTTTTCTTCCAGGGAGTCTCACTGGAGAAACAAACTATTCTTATGGGTGAGCTGCATGCCTGTCAGTAGATGGCCAACAGAAAACAAACTCAATGCCTTCTTTGGCGGTTGTCTTGTCTAATAATGTTGAATGTTGTGCCAGGATTTTTTTTTAAAAAGATTTTTATCTTATTCTTTTATTTTTATTTTATTCATATATTTTAATTTTTTCTCTTTTTAACTTAAATTTTTAACTTTTATTCTTCTTTCATACATTACATCCCAATTGCAGTTTTCCATCCCTCCACTAGCCCTACCCCCATATCCCCTCTTCCCCAGATCAAGTCTTCCTCTGTTTTTCTTTAAAAAGAAAAAAAGAAATGAAGAAAGGAAAAGAAAAAGATAAAGAGCAGGCCTGCCAGCCAAGGATATCCATTAAGCATGGCCTAAAAAAATATATTAAGACTGTACGCAAACCCTGATATCACGGTTGAAAATGGCAACCCAGTAGGAGGAAAAGGGTCCCAATCACAGGCAAAAGCATCAGAGCCAGTGCCCACTCCCACGGTTGGAAGTCCCATAAGAACACCAACCTACACAACCATGAGGTATGTGCAGAGGACATAACTTAGACCCATACAGGCTCCATGTTTGTTGCTTCAGTTTCTGTGAGCCCTTATGAGCCCTGCCCTTTGCATATATAATGTGACTTCAAGTGCAGTGTTTTTATAGGATTCCTGATGTACAGGAGTGGCTTTCTGTGTCTATCTCAGTTTCTTGTGCCTTTTCTTGGTCTTTTTCCCCCTCTGTTTGCTTGCTTTGTCCTATTCTGATGTTTTCGTTTTTGATTTATCTTATTATATTTTATTATTATTATCTCTCAGAAGCCAGTTTATTTTCTAGTGAGAGATTGAAAGGGAATGGGTCTGATTGGAAGGGAAGATGGGGAGGAACTGGAAATAGTAGAAGGAGGGGAAACCATAATCAGGATATAGTATATGAGAAAAAAATCTATTTTCAATAAAATGAAAACAAATACAGACTTTTAACATAAATTAATAATTCCACATGGACTCATTTAACATCTTACATGGCATGATATGATGTAGATCAAAGCTCACTCACTGTGGAATCATTTATAATAGTAAACAAGTAAAAATAACATGTAATAGGGTGATAAAAACAAAATTTATACTAAGGAGCCAGTAAGGCACCAAATCATGTGTCTCGTTACCAAGGAAATGCTATGGAAGTAGCTGTTTGTCACTCGATGCCATCAGACCTGGTAAAGATTAGTTTGGATTATAAAATCAGCATTTTTTTTTTTTACCCTGGCTGACCTAGAATTCATTACGTAGACTCAGCTGGCCTTGAACTCACAGAGATCCTTGATCTTCTGCCTCCTGAGTGCTGGCATCAAAGTTGTTTACCGCTATGCCTTGTCATTATTATTTCTAGAGGAGAAGAGGAAAGACCCTGTCCCATACATCTACATGGAGGTGTGGAGGAAACTTAACAGCCTGGGAGAGGGGCCAGGAAGAAGCTGTACCTAGAACTCAAGTGTGCCCAGACCGTGGGAAGTGAAGAGGACATTTCCCCAGGCACTGAGTCTCTTAGGAAATTCATCATTCATCAAAATAAAGAAATTGTTTCTACTCCTGTAAGACTCAATGACCTTTCCCCACAGGAAAAGAGCATATTCAGGGGCCCATACCACCTCTGCCCGGAACCCAGGCAAGTCGTCACTAAACTCCTCCTGCATCGTGTTACAAGGAATGAACCTTTAGGTGGAGATCCAAGCAATGCAATGCTACCTTTGTCTGGGAATTCTGACTGCTATTAGATCAAAGTGACTACAGGCATATAAATAAAGTCTGGTGCCCTCCCCTAGTCTTCTCTGGGGCAGAAGATGATCATCCTCATGGTGTAAATATTGATGAAAAATATGCCATGAAGTTATGTGTAATCTATCAACTACTGACATGATATAGTACTAAGGGACCGGTCAATCAAAATTCGGCAGATCATGTGTGGTGGTGTGAACCATCTGTAGGCTACATGAACAAAGGAAAACAGTCATCTGCATGATACAGTGGGGTATGATCTATGTGAAATGGTTAAACTTGTATACAGGTGAATGTCTAGAAAAACACATAAGAGATAGGTGAAAGTAATTGCCATTGAGAAGGAAAAAGGGACTAGGTGACTGGTAACCATGGTAAAGGAAGACATTTATGATTCACCAAACCTTTTATTATGATTTATGTGACATGTGTTAAAGCAACCAAGGAAGAAACTTTTTCTAACACGACAACGAAGTCCCCGCTTGCTTAACCCACTAAATTTCGTAATTCCCTAGTCAATACTCTGATGCTTTGTGATCATTTGTGGGCAGGGAGAGTGAGGAAGCAAGGAACCTTCCTACATATGTGTGCTTGGCTATGCTTGGTTGCTTTAACGCATGTCACATAAATCATAATAAAAGGTTTGGTGAATCATAAATGTAGTCCTTTACCATGGTTACCAGTCACCTAATCCCTTTTTCTTTCTCAATGGCAATTACTTTCTGCCTGCCTGTTTCAATCTTATTGCAAGCAAGAATACTTGCTGGGATATGTTTAGTGCCCTCCTGTTTTTGTGTTTTTGTATCTTTTATTGGAGATCTCATTGTTGAAAATGCTTCCCCACCCCATGCACGGTGCTGATATGCTGTCTTCTGTCTCTAAGTGCACGGAGGACGTTGTAAGGTTCTTCTGGAGAAATGAATGTGCTTAGGCTTCAGTTATAGTTCTCCTGGCTGTTGGTTCAGTGTTGATAAAACAATACTGTGTATGAAATAAGATGTCTTCACAGACATGAGTAAAAACAAAACTACACATTGGTCAGTTGTGTATGACTAGTTGCTCTCATGAAACTGCCCCTGTATTTTTCATAAGAATGATGGTTCTATAAATTATTTGCTAATTCAGTGTTTGTGGAGACTTCAGGAATCCAATTGTAAATAACAAGATTCCCCCTACTCGCCTCCATGAGTGTGTGTTTTCCTTCATCCTTGAGAATATATTAGACACTTGAAATACTCTACAATCTTCTAATTTTTATGGTAATTCCTAAACAGATATATCCAGAGAAAAGGTGGGTGATCTTATTTCTTTTATTGTGTGTGGTTGGGTGTATATGTGTTGTAGTATATGCAAATCAAATGTATATGCAGGTATGTGTACCCATGCAAAGGAAGCTCTTGGGTATCCTGCTCTGTCACTCCATGGCTTATTCCCTTGAGATGGTCTCTCTAAAGCTGGAGCTAGCCTGGCATCCAGAAAGCCCCAATAATCCTCTCAGTCCTGCCTCCTGCCTCTAGCACTGAGGTTATTAAGTCTTTCAGCCATGGCCAGCTTTTATATGAGTGCTGGGGGTTTGAACTTAGGTCTTTAGGCTTACATGCTAAGCCATCACTTTGCGAACCTGTTTGCCTATAGGAGAAATATCCTTTCTAGAAGGAACAGTCATTTCCTATAGTGAAGACCTCATCCTTTGCAGAGTTCAGCCCTGCTGGAGTGTGCTGAAATACAGTGGGTTTTGGTGAGAAGGTAGGGAAAACTGGAATATGCCTGGGCATGTACTACTCAGATTATTGGAATCATCATCCACAGGAACGTGTGCTGGAACCTGACAAAGGGCAGACATCACAGTGCAAACCCACACAGCTTGTGGTTGGTGAAAGACATTCCTTGGCTCAATCAAAATCCCTGTCAAGGAGAAACACCAAGGACAGAAGCAAGGGTGACATCAGAGTAGCCAGCATTAAGAGGAGAAAAAAGACACAGTTACCAGGGTGGGGTACTCATAGTCCATGGCCGGTAGCAGAGGGTGTAGCTAGAGTTTTCCTGCCTTGCCCACAGTCAGGACAAATTTTTGTCACCCATCAGTCCCACAGCCGCTCAGACACAACCAAGTAAACACAGAGACTTATATTGCTTACAAACTGTATGGCCGTGGCAGGCTTCTTGCTAACTGTTCTTATAGCTTAAATTAATCCATTTCCATAAATCTATACCTTGCCACGTGGCTCGTGGCTTACTGACCTCTTCACATGCTGTTTGTCATGCGGCGGCTGGCAGTGACTCCTTTTGCCTTCCTGTTCTTTCTTTTCTCCCTCTCTGTTAGTCCCGCCTATACATCCTGTCTAGTCACTGGCCAATCACTGTTTTATTTATTGACCAATCAGAGCAATTTGACATACAGACCATCCCACAGCAGAGGGCTTCATGGCGGTGTTAGGACTGTGACAGCATGAGTGGGAGGACACCAAGGAATGACTTGAACCACACATTCAAAAGCTTATGGGGTTTTATTCATTTGGGGAAATCCAGGTCAAATGGAAAGCAGGGAACGACACCTGGAATCCTGCAGCAGGGACTGAATCAGAAGAATAATTTGCTAAAGCAGGACTTCAGAGCACTCATTAGCTCTTGTTTAGTTTGACCTGGAAAAGAGAGATTAACTTGCATTAAAATTAATCTATGCTTTAGAATATAGCTCCTATTTTATCTTCTCTTTCAAGGAGAGCAGTGTTCATCTTTGGAAGAGTCAACTTACCTTTTTGACGGGGTTTTATGTGAATACTGTTTTTATGTCATTCTCCTCTCACTCTCCTGCCTGTTGTTCCTCCTCTCTCCCTTCTACTCCTTCTCAAAACCATGGCCTCATATTCTTTAACTACAGTTGTTACCCACATGCTCAGATTGGCTAACTTATCCCAGAGACCCTGGAGAAGACTGAGTCTCCCTTTCTGCAAAACCATGAATTGCCTGTAGCTCTTCTTCTAGGGGTGAAGCCTTGTGAGAATCCCCCCATTTCACTGGCATGTCAATTGGTTTTGACATTTTTTTTAGGTCTTGTTTGGGCAGCCAGCCATATTGTTCAGATCACCTGGGTGAAGCTCTCCCGACACATAAAGAAGATACTATCACATGGCACATATCCAGTCCTGGTCCTCTGGCTCTTACAGTCTTTCTGCCTCCTCTTCCTCAATGGTCCCTGACCCTGAGGTGTAGGTGTTGTATTATATATGTATCAGTTAGGTTAGATACCCCATAATCATTTGCTTTCTGCATTTTGATTATTTGTGACTTTCTATAATGTTCACCTATTGTGTGATATTTTGATTGCACTCTGACAGTAAAACTTGCTTTGAGTCAGAGGGTAGAGCCAGTCATTAGCTGATCAAAATTAACCATAGAGGATTTGGAGGATTGAGGACAGAGAAGAGATTGGAAGTAGTAAGGCAGGACTGAGAGATGATCTCAGGCCGTTTGGATGGTGGAACAGAAGAAATAGGAGGTCACTGGTGGCTTCTCTGCTGTTTCTCTGATCAGTTTCTTATGCTGATATCTGACTCTTGATTTTTTATTGATAAAGAATAATTAGATAAATGCTTTATTCACAATATCCTGCAAAGAGAAACTTCTTTGGTGAGGGATGAGAGCCACATTTATCTGTGAGTATAATGGCAAGTATTTAGAATGCAGTTGGGTACTATATTAATTTAGTGAAGTAGCAGTAGTGGGTTCTCTTTTAGGGTCCATGCCCTTACCAGCTACAGATAATAGTCTAGGTTTCCAGTACCAGGCACGAATTCCCTCCTACTAAGTGGGCCTTGGATCCAATTATCAAGTTGCTTTGTAAAAAAAAAAAAAATGAAGTAAAAAAAATAGTTGGGGATGGATTATAACATATTTATGGCATAAATAATGAAGTTACTTATGGGGCATGAATTAAGTCCTTAGTGAATGTGTATTGTTGACATGAGTGTGACCATGTCAAGGATCTACAGTTTGCTGAGGGTTTATCATGCCCATGGGAATGGCAAAGACTTTGTCAGGTCAGACTCACAAGAATGGCAAAGCCTTCCCCTGGTCCATGTACAGATATTGACAGTGTGTACAGAAAATATCAACCATAGCTTTCTCCTCCCGGATGTTTACAGCCTAAGATTATCCTCCTACAGAAAACACCTATTGCAATTATTAGCTAAACCTACCTCTTTGTTCAGCTAATAAGATAATCTGTGCCCCTCCTTCTTGTTAAGTCCTATACAATATATCTGAACCCTTGACTAAGGTGTATAAAATAAACACAGAGTTTCTGGCTGCTGGTAGTGTGTCTCCATCAGAGTCTGCGGCCCACCAGATCTCAGCTTTTCAGTCCATGTGTCTGTCCTTCTTTCAATCCTTTGTCTCCCCAGTCAGGTCAAGTCCAAACTGTGTGGGCCATGACAGTTGCTAATAATGCTGTGGACTATTTAAAAATCTTGAGTGTGGAAAGTATATGCATCTTCATGAGATGTTTTCTTCTTTTATGTTTTCTAACAGGGAAATGGTCAATCATAAACATGGTCTCATGGCTCAATAAGCTTCCTAAACAATTATGGAGATTATGAAGATAAAGAATGAATACAGACTTTTCAAGTATGCTATGTTATATACTTCAGAACAGTATTTTTGTCAACGCCTCTGAATTTCTTCATTGCCAACACAGAGAAACATAGCTTCCATGAAAGTCACATGGCAGTTGCCCTTCGAATCAGTGTTTGGTGTGGTCTATTTCAGCATTGTTACCTGCAACTTAACTAGAGACAAAGGCAGCCCATGTACCCAAATTTGAGTGATAAACATAGCATTTTGAACAACAGATATTTTCAGCAGTTTAAAATGAGTAATAAAAATGAACCAGATACAATTAAACTGAAATGAATGCAAATGTCCCTGCCTTGTATCTTTAAAACATTAAATGTAAAATGCAGGCTTTGGAAATTTATATCTACTGAAAATTAATGTAAACTTTTAGTTGTTTGGTATAACATGAGAGCACTTATAAGGTGAAAAGTTTATGAAATATGGATTCCCAGAGTAGAAACTTGTATCCAGATCGAAGAAAGGGAAGTTCAATATTCTCCAAACTCAGTAGCCCATATCGAAAACTTTAGATTCTATTTTATTAGATGTTATCAAACTCACAAACATATTAGGTCATAATTCTGAAGAATAGTCAGAATCAAAACAATTGGGAATATTTAATATGGAAAAAATAAAAATTTGAGTAGTATACAATAGCTGTACTTGGATATTTGAAGGATGATCATGTGGAAGAGGTTTGTTCTCTATACTTGCATAATAATGTGCTAAGCAGATTGTTAGAACCTGACATGCTGAGAAGAGATGGTGACCCAGGTCATGAAGAGTAGCTGAATTAAGGAGGATAGACAACAAGAAAGCATAAAAGGTCTCCAAGACACCGAGAAGCAAGAGCATGTTTGCATTTTGAGACAGGTTAGGCTGTGCTGAGGAAGAAAGTTCTACTATCCTAAGATATTACAAAGAGGTGAGAGAGTCTAGACAAGGTAAATACTGAGACTGTGGGTTTTGACTACAAATAGAACTTTGAAGAATGTTGAGACACTGCTTGATTGCTTTTGCAATTCCTCGTATAATTAACAGGAAAGCTAGAGTCTACAACCGCTTCAGAAATTTTCAAAATTCTAATCTAGAATTAGAGCACAAAGAAAGACGATGAATGAGTAAAAGAAACACTGTAATAAATTATAAACTGGAATTTAATTAGCAGAGAAGGCTAAGCAGGGAGAGATTAAAAATATCTTGCTTGATGTAGGCTTTAGTTGACAAAGCTCTAGAAAACAAGTTTGGAGAATATTCAGAATGGAAATATGGTTATCATCCTTACTTTGAACAGCAACTGGACCAAACCTCTGTATTTACTCTTGCTATTTCATAGCTTTTTTTTTTCTTGTAAGTAGTGGATATTAAAAATTGAAGAAATTGTGGACTCAGAATAGCCAAGTTCATGTGCTAGCAAAGGGTGGATCTATTTATTACCTGCTGTGAGGAAGAGACAATAGCAAATTTAAGTGGAGTCTACAGGTTTCTCAACAGGAATCACTTAATGGGTAGTGACCTTATTCTCTTCATTGGCTTTGCTATGACTGTGTTCACTATCTTTCCAGATTTTTGTCTTATATCAGGAACTTGTAGTCTGACAATATTTTTATGTCTCTTTATTTATAAATACAAAAGACATTGCTAAGACAACCAATTGAGGATTAAATGGCATGGGAGAGTAGAGACTGGAATAGAAGGTCTGAATCGATAACCATGGGCACTGTCACCCAGCTGGGGATGTGCAAGTCTTGATTCTGCTCTTTACAAAACTGTATGGCTTGGTATAGATCACCCAATACCCCTGTGTGTCTTCCTTCATCTATAAAACTAGCTACTTCACAGGACTGTTGAATGATTAAACAAATCATTTTGTAACATTGCCTATTACATGGCAGATAGTCAAAGTATGTTAAAATTTCCTCTTCTCTGTGACTCATATAGTCACTCTGTCAATCAAGTCCACCAGCTTCCTTAGGGTTCAGCCTCCTTCTCTCTAAATTCATGTCATTGGACCGGATGCTGGCAAACTATCTTTCTACTTCCTCTTAGTCATTGTTCCTTTCAATAGCCTACCAGTTATATATAAATTACCTATTTTGTACAGTGATCATTTCTAGAATAATTAATCATATAGATATTTTACTAGCTTTAAGAATTTATAAAGTACAAATAAAATGCAAAATAACAAAGAGATGTAACAACCATGTTGGGTGCTGTGTGATAACTTTGTACACTTAGTACAGCATCTAAGGTTCAAAGAAGGCAAAAAGAAAACACCAGGATATAAAGGAAAGTACCATGGGTAGGATTATCACAGAATGCATACACATGAAAACAAAAGGGTTTTAAGACTAGAGTGCATATGTAGGACCCATTGGCTCAACATCAGTAGTCACAGCACTCAGAAGGCTGAGGCAGGAGGATCACCGACAGTTCCAGGCTATATAGTGCAACCCTGTCCCAAGAAACAAAAACAACAAAAGGGAAGGGGTAATATAATAGATTAATGTGGTAGAGGGTTCTCATAATAATAGACAACCAGGTTTAAAAGCAAAGTTGTGTTTGTTTAGGAGCCTTCTGAATTGTTTCCTGAAAAGCATGAACAATTCTTTTAAAAAGTCATTATTTGATAATGGAGTACATGAGTATAATATGTTTTGATTAAATTTATACCCCATTCCTTAACCTTCAATTTCTCCTATCCACCCCATGTTTTCTTTTCCAATTTCATATCCTCTTTCTAAACTCCCTCAGTCCACTTATTACTGCCAGTGTGTGCTTGAGTGTGGGGCCAGCCACTGCAACATAGCCTATCAGGAACTACATGTGAAGAAAAGTGACTCCTTTCCTCAGCAGCCATCAATGGAGGGAGTTAAAGACTTCAGAGAAGCACCATGATCTCAGAAAAAAATGAGCGTGTTAGAGAAAGAAGAAGGAGGAACTCTCAGATAAGAGGTAACAGCAACACACCTGAAAAACTGTGCCTTTTTTTTATATATCATTTTTGATATTCACATCCCCTGGATCTACTCAGTACTGGTTCCTACATATGCCCTTTTGCCTTTCTACTGGTGTTTCAGCTGGATAGATCTCTTCTATGACTTGTACATGTCCTTCCCAAATCATGTCTGGAAACATTAATTTTTCAACGTGTTTAATATGGGGAGCTGGGACCTAGTGGAAGATGTTCAAGTCATGGGGCTTTCGAAAGCGAATGAATGCCTTTCTCGGAGGAATGGGTTAGCTATCACGATAGTGTCACCATTACCCGTTAGTGTATGTTCTCATGTCCTCACTCCCCTTCAGATTTCCACAATTTTATGAAGTTCCATGAATCCCACAGCAGATAAAGCCACCAGATCTTGACTAGCCCAGTCTCTAAAACCATGAGCCAGCATAAGCCTCTTTCTCTTTTACATCACTGGTTCCTACATCAGGTCATAATAACGAAAACAATCTCCTTTGCATAACTCTGGGCTTAACATAGCCCTTTCTTCTTATAGGGCTCGGGAGAATGAGGAGATCGGCTGCGTGGATCTCTCTCACTGCAGTAGCCCGTCTTCCTCCTAATCACTCCCCTCCATGAGACTGTAGCCTTGTTTAGCTAACCATTACTGGGCAGGTGCTACTATGACTATATTGAGACTCTTTCCTTCCATGGGGATCTGTGTGGAGACCTGAGCCTGCAGAGTAGCGAACCAAGTCAGGCAAGAAGGAAATCCGGTTCAACACCCGTTCCCATCTTTCCTGGCAGAAACAGGTATGCATCCCTTCCACTGAAGAGACAGCCCAGCGTGATGAATATTCCTGTTTTCCCTGATCTTCTCTGTGAGCACAGTGACCCCAGGCCCTCTACACATTCCTACCTGTAATTTTTTCCTGTAAAATGCCTCTGGAGGTCGTGAGTAAACCTCACAGAAACCTCAAGCTCTTCTTTCCCTCCAAGCCTTATATGTATTATTAGGTCTTTAGTATTCCTCTGTCTTCTACCCTTTCTAGGCCTCCTGATCCTTTTCTATCTCTGAAAATGAAGACTATGGCAACCAAGGGAGCCTTTTGTAGTAAGAGCAGGAGACCACAGGAGGAAAAAGTTATCTTTGCTAGTTCGCCCGAGTTTTCCCTCCCTCAAGTGTTCTTCCATCCGACCCTGATCAGGTTTGCGTGCTGCTACCACAGATATTTTTAAATCGAGGATGTAGCTTTCATATTTCCTGAGAAGGTAAAGATGGAGAGATTTGGAGAGTAAAACAAATGGTGCCCTTAAAAGAGCATGAAGTTGAGAGCCCGAGGGAGCTGTAGGCATTCAGAGTGTGGGTAGTTGCTTATGTGTGACTGGTACTTTTCTTGATTTCTGTTTTCTCAGTTGAAGGGGGCACAACACCGGACAGGTGACATGTCAGAAACAGATGCTCACCTTCTGCACCTACAGCAGCCCCTCCCCACTGCTTATGATATTTGCTGCCTGCCATTAATTTGTTATCTATTCAAAGTTGCAGCAGAAAATAATGTCACTGCTGATTTTGAACTTTTGACAATTCTATCATATTACCTAATTTTGAAATATATGATTTTAAATGGTCCTAAAATATAATGTTCTGTTCCTTATTTAAAATATGTCAAGCATTTTGTGCTTCTGATACACTTTTGAGTGCTCCAGATGTCAAAATATTTTAGCAAAGACCCACCCACTGTGATGTTTTCTTCACCATCTCTTCAGGAATGACATCTCCAACGATCTTTTCTCAGAATTCTTTTCCTATCCCTAGCAAGACCAGTCATAATTTTCCCCAACTGTTTCTAGAATGTGGAAGACTCCAACAGAACGCTGTCATGGTTTGAAAATAAAATATTCTCCTAACAGGCCTGTGTGTTTGAAGGCATGGTCCACAGATAGTGTTGTTAGTTCATAGTGATTAAATTCTATGGTTGTTGATGCCATCAGTGGGGCGATCTATTGAGGAGTTCTAAATGAATGGGCTATGAGGAGCTGGGTCTTGTCTGGAGGAGGCAGGTCCTCAAAGCTGCCTTTGAAGGGTCTGTCTTGTCCTCATCTTTCCTTTCTCTTGCCCTTCTTTCTGGTTACCATGAAGTAAAGAACTTCTCTCCACTATTTTTCCACCAGACACTCTGCCATGGTGTTTCAGCCTTACCTCAGGCCATAGCAATGACCTCAGTACTAAAGGGGCTGAGACCTCTGAAACTATGAGCCAAATAGCCCTCTCTACCTTTAGTTGGGTCCTCTTGGGTATTCGTCACAGTGGTGGCAAAGTGACCAATACAAACACAAACTTCATTGCAGCAAAATGGTGTGATGTGGCCTTTGCCTTAAAATACAACTACTAAAATTGCTATCAGAAATTGTACCTGAAAAATAAGTATTTTTTGGAGCCACGAATACTCTTCCCTTAGTATACATCATCAAATATTGCAGGCTAACTCTGGAGCCAGCACCTAAAATTTCTTCTCTTAGAGATAAGCTGTGTCACCTTGAGCGAGTGATGTAACTTTTCTGTGCTTCATGGCCAATGTGAATTTCCTCATTTTTAAAATGAGGCTGATAAAAATGTTATTTCTGAGAGAGTCCTAATGATTAATCAATTTAATACATGTAATACAATAAGAAGGTGCCTGGCATATAGTTGGTCCTATACAAATAAATCTGCTCTGCTGTTTGCACAGTACCTGCCTGACTGCATGGTTATAATTTCATACATTAAAAAACTTCGATTCAAGATGGCGGAGACAAGCAGACGCAGGTAGGCTTGTGGCAGCGGCCCGCGGAGGTGGACGGGCCCGGCGGCAACAGCCGACAGGGACATTTAGACCCGGTGGCAGCTGGCGGAGACATTCAGGCCCAGCGGCGGCCCACAGAGGTGGACAGGCCCTGCGGCAGAGATAAGTAGACGGAGGTCAACAGCCCAGCGCTGGTGGCCCACAGAGACATTCAGGCCCGGCAGCGGCCCACAGAAGTAGACAGGCCACGCGGCGGAGACGGGCGGACGCAGGTCAGCGACCTGCGGAGGTGGACGGCCCGGTGGCAGCGGCCGACAGGGACATACAGGCCCAGCGGCGACCGGCGGAGACATACAGGCCCGGTGGTGGCCCGCAGAGGTGGATGGGCCCAGCAGCAGTGACAAGCAGAGGTGGGTAGGCCTGGGCGGCAGCCGGCAGAGATATACAGGCCCGTTGGTGGCCCACAGAGGTGGACGGAGCCAGCGGCAGCTGACAGGGACATACAGGCCCAGCGGTGGAGACTGGCAGAGGCAGGTGGGCCTGTGGCGGCAGGCCACAGGGGTGGACAGGCCCGGGG